AAGCATTTTACAATATATACACAGATTCAATCATTGTGGTGTACACCTTAGACCTGTACAATGTTATATGACAATTACATCTTAATAAAAATAGGAGAACCAGGAGGGCAGCAGGGCCAGAAAGACGAGAAGGCGGCTAACAGGGTAGGGACCCTGGGGCCCTGAGGCTAAATGCCAGCTCCAGCACTAACTTGCTGGGTGCTGAATGGGTCTCTTGATCTTTGGGGTCTCTTGTTCTTCACCTGCAACTTCTCTGATCCCTCCTAGCACTGCTGTCCCGCCCGCACCCAGGGGGATGGAGGTTTCAGGCTCAGGCCTGGCTACTCATGCTCAGGAACCTGACGGGACCCAGGGCTCTGGTTGGATGACTGTGACACTCTCCAGCCCTCACGGTGCACTTCATGTAGTTGTCAGTAGGGCTCTAGAAGAAATGGCCTCCTTCCAAGGGGCTGAAGTTTGGTTTACTAAATGCAGGTTTTTGTTTTTTCTTTTAAGAAAGAGTGCATGTATAAGCTTAGGGAGTGGAGCAGAGGGGGAGAGAATCCCAAGCAGACTCCATGCTGGGGGTGGATGCGGGGCTCGATCTCATGACCCTGAGATCATGACTTGAGCCAGAATCAAGTCTTGGATGCTTAACTGACTGAGCCACTCAGGCTATTTTAAACTATGACATGGCTAATAAAACGTTCAGTTCTGTGGGGGAAAAGCAAAGTATTCAAGTTTCTGATGTCAGGAACGTGGTTAAAGAATAAAGACAAAGCCAGCAACCATCATCTGCCCAAGTTAGAAACTTCAGGATCATTCTAGACCTTTCCCATCATTCCCATAATGGTGACCACAGCTGGCACTTCCTTGGGCAAGGAATATGAAGTTGAGAGAGAGACCACACACTTGGGCTAGCTTGGGGATCCATGCCCTCCACCACTCCCTCCACCAGCTCTTGGTTCACCAAAGCCTGGTCAAACCAACCCCCCCGCCCCGCCCCAGCCTGGCTGCCCACCCCACTGCTGCTGTCCAGACCCACAGCATCTCCCACTTGGACATCTACCAACACACAGTCTACCACCAGTGCTCCTTGGAGTAAAGCCAGGCTGCTGCCTCACCTTCAGAGGCAGGCCCTCATCACCTCCTGAGACCTCTCCTTCCCCACCCTCCCTGGGTTGGATCCCCACCCTGGCTCTGCCCAGGAAAGCTCATCCTACCATCTTTGCCTAACAAAGTCTCCCTCATCTCAGACATACCTCCCAGGCAGGTTGGACTTCTGGCTGTTTCCCCCACATGCCTTGTGTGTAGGCTGGAACCTTTTTATATCATCTGTCAGTGTTGTGGGGTATGAAGAACTTGCTTGGCATGTCTGTGCTCCCTGCTCCCCAGAGGGACATGGTGAGATGTGGCACATGACAGGTATCTTTGGGGCTTTGAAGGTAGACCCCTGGAACTGGGATCACATTTACTTGCTGTGTGGCCTTGGGTAAGGCATTTAACCTCTATGCGCCCCCAGATTCCTCATTTAATGGTGTCTACCGCATAGAGTTGTCATGAGGATTATGTGAGGAAGTTAGGACTTACGCAGCACTGGGCACTGGTGTGGTTGGCAAGTTTTCTTCCCCTTCATGTCCCTGGGTGTCTGTCTGCCCTAGCAGGCTTTTGTTGACCTTGCATTGGCTGAAAGAAGCCCTGGAAGCTGAGCATCCTGTGTGTATCAAATCCACAGAGCCTGGCACAGTGATTGTCCCTGGGTTACCTGAGAGGGAGCCCTGGCATCTACCCCCAGCCCCACAGCACCGTGGCTGCCATGGCCAAGTGTGACGGAGACAGAACAAAGGCCTTGAATGATGCAAAGAGTAGGCAACATCACTTTAAATCTGTTTTTCCAAATCATGTTATTTTAAATGCCCCGGGCAGATGTCCATGTGTGCAGGGGACACTCGGCTGGGCCAGAGGCGCTTTGTCCCTTGAAAGGCCCCATTGTGACCCCCGAACCGGCCCCGAGTGATTCCCGGAACAACAGGCCCTTGTATGGGCCCTGAAGGCCCGCTGGCTCTGGCCTCAGCTGGCAGTGCGAACCCTTTGCTGTCTCTTTAGGGTCAGCATAAAGAGGTCTGAAATCCCCCATGTGGGCTGCTGCCAGGGTTCTGATACTGTTTTTTAGAGTTTGGTTCTGGAATGTAGATGAAGCTCAGCTCCTATAAACTGTCCTTTCCCTCTAGGAGGAGGGCAGATGCAGTGGGGACCCACAGTGAGCAGAATGGGGGCGTTGTCAAGGGTTGTTGGTTTGCAGAGGAGAACCATATGCAGATGAGACCCCTCTTAGGCCACCCGATCCCCCTCAGGGAAGGCCACCAGGAGAATGCCATAGCCATTGAAGTCACAGACAAGAGTCTCCAAAATGTTCTGGTTGGATTTGCTCTACACACGTCTGTTGCTATTTGCCCTCCTGTGATGCATGCCCTCACCACATATTTGGGGTGACTGTTCTGCAAGCTTTGGCTCTTAGTCACATCACAGATAATCAGCTCCTTAATCCTTTCTCAGATCCATGGAGGTGTTCTCTTTACTCCAGGACCTTAAAAACATCCAGTTATTCACCTTCTTTACAAAGAATCAGCTGGGGGGCACGTGGGTGGCTCAGTGATTGTGCATCTGTCTTGGGCTCAGGATGTGATCTTGGGGTCCTGGGATCGAGTCCTGCATCAGACTCCCCAGAAGGAGCCTGCCTCTCTCTGCCTATGTCTTTGCCTCTGTCTCTGTGTCTCTCATGAATAAATAAATAAAATCTTTAAAAAAACAAAAACAAAGAAACCACAAAGGATCAACTGGATCCGGTGGGCCTTTGGCTCTCTGAAGGCTCCTAAGAGGAACGTGGTGTCTGCCTGGACTGGCACTGTTGTGACTTTGCAGCTCAGAGCCACCAGCCCCTTTCAGTATAGCCCTATGTGGCCTCCTGCAGACCCCGCTAGTAGTCTGAGCTGTCCCAGGGAAGACCCCTGCCCGCTGGTATCAGGAGCACCACAAGGGCATGTCTCTTTGTTGCCTCCTGAAAGGTGGGAGGACAGATCACATGAGGACCAGTCTAGGGACCCTAGAGCAGTAAGCAGGAGGAGCCGGCCAGAAACCCAGCTCTAGTTTTCACTAGCTGAGTGGGCCTGTTTCCTCTCCTGTAAAAACAACAGTATTAGCTAGCTCTTGTGGCCACCATGGGGATGACAGGAGGTTATATACATACACGTACGGAGCTTACGCAGTGCCTGGACCAAGGCAAGAGCTCCAGAAATGTGAGGCAAATGGCCACACAGATGCAAATATGGTCCTCTGGGTGGTCATGTTCGGGTGTTGGTGCTTCCTTACCTTTGGTCCATCAGGGACACCAAGCGGAAAGTATCTAAGGAATGTCCCATCTCCCCTTGGGCTGGAACCAAGATATGCCCCAGAGAAGGACCTCTCCTGTTCAAGACCCAGAGGCGAAGAGGTGAGGCATGCCAGCCACAAGAAGCTTTGTAGGGGCAGACATCATCCCACATCTCCAGGGATCAATGGTCCCAGCAAAACAGGTGCTTAGTCGGTGTCCATTCTGTGGGGTCTAAGGACCATTTGGCTATTGCCCAGCAGACTTCTTAAGTGCCCCCTCCCCAGGCATCATGGGTTTCCAGAGGATCAGTGCCCTTAGCAGGAAGGCCTGCCCAACAGCCAGCTCTTGTCCCTGCAAACACTTCCTAAACAGCAGGATGCAGAAGAGCTGAGCAGTGAGATGCTGGAGGGAAGAAACTAGACCAGGGTGGCGGGAGGGGGTGGAGAGGAGAGGAGGGTCTGGGTGAACAGAAAAGCAAGACCAGGAGAGGGCATTTTTGGAAGCTAGCCATCCATTAACATCCAATGAAAACAGGATGCAAATCAAATGCCAGACGAAACTGCAAATTAAAAAAAAAAAAAAAAGACTGAGGATGGGAGGAATGAGGAAGTCCTGTCATAGAATCATCTGCAAAGCCTTGGACTAACAAGGATTTTTATCGTTAGACCAATATGCAATTGAAAATGAGAAAAAGAAAGAACAAAGCAAAATTCCTTTAAAGAGAATGATTAAAATTCCAAAACATTGAGGAACCTTTGGGAAATTCAACCAAGCCTTTGGTTTCTCTTTTTCGATGGGGGTCAAAAAATGCTCCACCATTGGCATCCTGTTTCTGACTCACCAGCATGCAATCAGGGAGTTTTGTTGAAAAAAAAAAAAGCCTATTTCCCTCAATCAGTACCTGACTGCAATTTTTTTTAAATACATGACAAACTTCCTACCATTTCCTAATGATTTCTAATTTGTATTTTTTCAATCAAACATTTTGCTCCTAATTTGCTATGAAATTTTATTTAAATTTTAAGTGGACTCACTAACAGTGACCTTTTTCTGGTACAATTACCCTGGAATAACAGATCTCCTGAAAATACTGCTGAGACCCGATGTAGTCAAGATGTCCCCAAGGTGTAAAGGGGACCCCTTTACACCAAGGGGAGTAAAATGTCAACTCGCTAAACCTCTGCCTGAGGCTTGAATCTTTGCCCTATGTGGCTGCTAGCCTCTGCCTGTACACCTCCATAGCTGGGAGATGACCAGTTTTTGAGGTATCTATTCTGTGCCCCTGTGGAATATCTTTAAATTCTTTGAGCAAAGGGACAAAGCAGCATTTTTAAATGGAAACTAGGCTTTAAGGATTCCTAACTGAGTGCCTCCTTCCTGTCTCCTTTCCTTTCAATCCAGACATCCTACACCTAAAACATGGCACTCACCACTTGTCTTCTTACTTCCCTTCCCTCAGTAGTCCCCTTGCCCTCCTTGGGAGTGGCCCAGGGAAATTCCAAAAACAGTTTATTATTATTCATATCCCTAATTGGAACAAAACACAAAGCACATTGCCCAGAGGATTTCTGATCAGCTTCATAAGGAGAAGAAACTTTTGCATCTCATTTTCTTTTGGCTTAAAGACTTGTTTTTTGTTTTGTTTTGTTTGTTTTGTTTTTTTACAAGTAGGTGCCACACCCAGTGTGGAGCTCAGTGTGGGGCTTGAACTCATGACCCTGAGATCAAGACCTGAGCTGAGATCAAGAGTTGGCTGCTCAACCAACTGAGCCACCCAGGTGCTCCTGGGTTTAGGACTTTCTAATGGAACACAGATTCCTTTGTATTTTAGGGGTCTGTGCTGCATTAGACAGGAGTTCCCCAGGCTGGTACTTGGCGAGTCTCCAGAAAGGGTGAAGCTGTCTGCTGCACCTGGTAGCTGGGGAGGGTGAGATACCCAGTGACGGGCTCTCCAGCAGTGCGGTGGCCAAGCATACACAGCTGTCATCTGAACTGCCATTTAATGGCTCTAGAGATTCAGTATAAGCCAAAGGATTCCTCAGAAAGTAGGCTGAAATGATGGAGTCCCTGAAACTAGGAAATTAAAAACAAAACCCCCAGAACACCCCACAAAAATATTGAGCATAAAGGCATTTTATAAAGTATTTCAAAGGTTTATCATCTTCCACTGTGGACATCTGCAGATACTTGTTGGGTGAGCTTTACTCCCCAGGACAGGGAGACTATCCATGAAGACTTGGAAACGTGCCCCAGGATGGGTACTCAAAAGAGCTTGTGGGAAGTCCAACAGACAGTTCTCAAGATCCGGTCCAGGGGTCACCAGGGGATCTTTGTTTCTTGGGCACAGTCCCTATTTCCCAGCCCCACAGCCCCCTTCCACAAATAGGAAACAGCTCTAGAAAGACAGCTCAGTGGTTGGAGGCTAAACATACAGGCCCCCAGCCCTGACATGAAGGTATATGGGAGAGTAAACATAACACCCACAAGAAACAGAGCATTGCTTTTTTGTTTTCTTTTTTCCACCATCGAGACTATTTGTGCATTCTAAAATGTTATTCTGGAAGGCAGGCTGATCAGTTAACACCGTCTGGGTTTTCAGCAAAAGTTCTGCTGTTTTATGAAGACTTCCATCTGATTAAAGAAAACACTGCATGGACCACGTACAGCAGAGTGGCCACATATGAAAACACCTGAAACCGAGATAAACAACAATTAATGGGGGTGCATTGGGGGGGCAATGCGTGGGCTGTCCACACTCCCATGGTGCTTGGGGACGATGGCCTGAAAGGGTATGGGCCGCCGCTGCTTCTTGTCATTCCCATAGACATTTGTTCTGTGGTCCCATAATGCTTTCAGCACAGAGCTCTGGGTGACCTACTGATGCACAGGATGTGGTGTGCAAGGTCAACTACCTGCCATCACATGTCATTGTGCTAATGCGACCCAACTAGAAATGGAGACCCCCAGAGACCCTTCAAATAATACTGCTCTTAATGGAAATTTTCCTTCCCCCACACCACTAAGGCTAGAGTGTACCAGCTGTGATTCCACTGGCCTTGGCTAAGGGAAAATGAACAAGTGGGTTTGCTGGCTCTGGTTAAGGTCTTGATGCTGTCTGGTCATCCTCAGATCCCTACCAGAATTTTATTCCAGGAATCTTAATTTCATAAGCATGGGCAAGGGTGTGCCAGGCTCACAGGAAGTGAGGGACTGGAACAGGGAGGAGGGATGGGAGCTTTTGCAAAAAGGAGGGGGGCTTACTGAGAAAGCTGTTGGAAAGATCTGGTTGGCGTTTTGATGCTGGGAACAAAGGCCCTGGAAATGGGGCAAATGGTCACTTTGTCCCTGTCAAGTCCCTGACTTGTGTTCACGTGGGCACCATCTATTCCTACCACCCTGCTCTGCGTGGCTAGCCTCCCTGAAGGCTTTCCTGTCCCCACGTCAAATATCTGCACCTGGATTTGTGACCTTGGGTGCGAGGTCAAGAGTTTCCAACCCAGGCACAACATTAGGGCAGCTACGGTTCCATGACTCTTGAAAATGCCCATAAACACTAGCGGTCATCGTGCCTGCTCTCTCCCTGCCTCCACACATGGGCGAACCCTTCACCCTTATTGGCCAGAGGGGATGAGTAAGCCGAGTTATTTAATAACAAATGTAAGAGAACTCATCTGGGAACCCCTGAACACTGTCTAAAAGGCACAGTTGTATGTGAATGAGTGGCCCACCCCAAAAGAACACCTCTCCCTGTCAGAGAGGAGCAGTTTAGTGTCTGGGGAATTCCAGACCCAATGAGAACCCTTGGCAAGAGCACCTCAGATGTCCCCGGCAGTAACAGGAAACGCTTATTTTCCTAGTGAGGTCAAGCAATGGCACACTGGGACACTAAGAGCCAGGGACATGAATGCATAGCCTTGGTTCTTCAGAATCCCCTCTCCATAATGATGGCTGCCATTCGTGTTACTCCAGATTTCTGTAGAAATTTCCAGCTGCCCTCAGTAATTCCCACCAATCCCAGGGATCCCTCTGGCACACACTGTCTGCTGCCAGCAAAGAATAGAGGGAGAAGTTAGCTTTTGAGGCAGCTCCAACTAAGTAACACAGAGACGGGGAGAGGCAGGCCAGATGCTTCCAAAGGCCAGGAATGTGAGGGAGAAGGTCTTGAGGTTCCTCCTCATTTCCTGGCTGGCTACCCTCAGGACAGGAGAAAGGCATGATGTGGTTGGACAGGGTTTGCCCTGTGCACCAGAACAACTGATATTTTGCATAGAAAGGCGTGGCTTTACATTGAACCGGGCTCAGATATCACCTTTGGCCCACTGCCTCGGCCTGCTGGCAGCATTTTTTTTTTAAGATTTTATTTATTTTTTTCATGAGACAGAGAGAGGCAGACATAGGCAGAGGGAGAAGTAGGCTCCCCATGGGGAGCCTGATGTGGGACTCGATTCCAGGATCCCAGGATCCCAACCCGAGCCAAAGGTTACTCAACCAGTGAGCCACCCAGGTGCCCAACATTTTGATTCTTGATTCCGGCACTCCCGACTTTGCCGGGGCATGCCCATGTGTTGTCTAATTCAACTAACAAAAATGGAGGGACATGAAGAATTGCGGAGTGGATAAATAGATGTTGGTGTAGTCACAGGTGGAATGCTATACAGCAACAAGAATAAACACTGTACATCTCCACCCCAAAATGCGGATGAGCCTCACAAACCTAAGGTTGAGAGAAAGAAGCCAGACATAAAAGAATGCACACTGTATGACTCCATTTACATGAAGTTCAAAAGCAGGCAAAATTGAACTAGGTAGCTAGAAATCAGGAAGGTGGTTCCTTCATTTGGGTGCACAGTGATAGCGGCAGGACAAGCGGATCCTGGGAGCCATTTATTATGTTCTAGTTCTCAATTTGGAGGCTTGTTACACAGAGGGGTTACTTTATGGAAATTCACCCATCTGTACATTTGCAACTTGCTCACTTCTTTGGATGTATGTTGCATTTCGGTAGGAAGAAAACGAAAAGTTGGAACATAGTAGATCATAGTGGTTCTCAACTAGAGATCTGTCCCATGGGCAGAGGCATTCACCCTGTCTGGGTCATTGTGCTAGCCACACTCCAGGTGCATTTCACTACCGTCGTTACCTACAATCATTTCATGGAAATTGTTGTCAAATGCCTTGCTGTTGCTGTCTGTTGGGAGAGAAGGCTTCTGGGGTTGGGATGGGGCAGGGTGGGGGGGTATGAGGCCCTCTACAAGAGTTATTGGAAGAATGACAAAGGAAACACCTCACCAGTCTCCCAAGGGAAGAAGGAACAACCAAGGTGTTGCCTGGTTGTGTTACTATTTAGAACCAACCAGCTTGGAAGATAAGCCAAAGTGGGAGACACTCCCACACTGTGGGATATTTGAGGGGGTGCCAGGGACCAGGAAGTGGCCATGTTTATGGAACTGGAGAGTAGGCAGGGAACTTAGGGGGAATATGTGGCTTCCTTGGGGCAGAGAATGGGCCCATAGGGACCCAGGTGAGACTTTCAGGAACTTTCCTTCAGACCCCTCCCTTTGGGAGCAAGAAGAGCACCACCTGCCAAACCCTTCCGTAGAGCCCAACAATGCCCCTCCCCATGGCTTTCCGCTCAGCCTCTGCTCTGCTCTTACCAAAAAGTAGGGACGGTACAGTTCAGGCATCTGGGGCTGGGATCTTGTGATTGATCACCACATTTGACCTCAGCATTTATATAACTCACAGGTCGACCCCCAGAAATCTGAGGAGTGCTACTTCCTGAAGCTTTTTCATATTTTTGAAGCAACACCCAGGGTTAGAAATACATCTGATATTGCAAGTTCGAATACTTGTGGGAGCCAACATGTGCAGAGCTCTGGAGAAAGGTTTTGTGAATCAAAGCACCCTCCTACTCTCTGTCATCATTCTCATTCATTCCCTTAGGAAGAAAATGGGGTTATGACCTCAAAGCCCACTGGTGGGTCTGACCCTGCAGTTGGAGAAGGCTTCTTTCAGAGTGCAGAGGCCCTCCTGACCTGTGTACTCTGGCCACACACTGCGGGCACCCCCATTTGCTCGGCTAATGGAGTGAATGAGGCTCAGGACCCCCTCCCCAGGCCCTGCACTGCTCACTGTGACGGCCTAGAGAAGAGTGTTTAGCATCTCTACAGTCCCGAGGGAGTCAGACCAGAACTATAGGCCCATTTCACAGATGCAGCTAGTACCTGCTCAGCGCCTCCTCCTGCAGTGGGTTCTCAGAGTTGTCAGGCAGGAGGCGTCATCAAGAAGACCACAAGGTCTTATTACAGCAGCAAACGTCCACAGTGGAGGGCTCTGGACATGCTGGGCCCAGAAAGGCTTCTCCACAGCCCCAGCCCCGAAACCAGGGCTTGGCGAGACACTAGCCACTTGATTTTACATCCCTGGGCTCAAGGCTTCCCCCAGCCTGTGTGCTTTGAGGGAAGATCACTCAGGGAGAGCCAGCAGACCCAAGTGGCCAGCCTCACCACTTCAAACAGATGCTAAGAGTAAGGGGACAGAACTGTCCTGGACACTGGGAATTCCTGGCCATCTTGGAGCAAGTTATCCATGTTCTTGGTGTCCTAGTTCTGCATCTGTGAAATGGGTATAATAAGAGCACCTACATGCTATTGGTACTGGGGAGAGTTAAATAAGATCCTTCATGGAGGGCTCAGATACTCTGTGACACTCATGGTCATTTCCCTTTTGCAAAGCCCACCCAGGCACAGAGCCCTGGGCCAGCCTAGGCCTGCACAGCGCAGCACTGACCAGAGGGCTAAAGGAGGCTCAGGCACGTCACGCGTCATCTCCCTTCTCCAGGGCTTCATTTCTTCGGAAGTCAGTGAAGTAAAAAGAAAGGGGAGGGCCCAAGCAGCCTTCTGCTGACCCTCTATGGGCGGGAGGGTGCGGGGGAGCTGGGACCAGGGGCAAATCGACTGGGGCACTCACCACTGCAGAGATGTTCTCGTGGTACTGTTTGTAGGTGTAGCCCTCCTGCATTCCAATGGTGGCCAAAGCTTCCAGCACAGAGGCGCTGAGGTAAAACAGGGCAGCGATACAGTGGTAGGCTGCGTCCTGCAGGGTCAGAAAGCACTGTCAGAGAGGTGGGCAGCTGCGGTCTTAACCAGGCCTGTCTCCTCGACTTGTTCCCTCCTGGCGTAGCTCAGATCCTGCCCTCATCTTCTGCTGCTTCCTTTGGGAAAGAAGGGCTTTCCTGCCCCAACCCCTGCCCCATCCACCCATCATCAGCCCCCAGCCCCCTCCTCACAGAGGCTGTGTAACCAGCACTGCCCAGCTGGTTCTATTTCACTGGAATGGGGACCATAGTCAGGACTTCAGGGGAGAAGGCACATAGCTTTCCCTTGAGATAGAATCAAGGAAGAGGTGGGGGACAGGAGGGGCAGCCTGGAATCTCACAGGTAGAAATTGGCTCTGGCCCTGAGAAGCATCACGGGTGGCCTCAGGGACGAGGGCAGGGTGAGAGAGGCCCAGGTCATTTCCACTGTCACTTTTGTCTTATTGTTTCATTTTGGGGAGCTAGGGGAGCTCCAGATAAGTTTAATAGCAAAGAGGAACCAGAATGCAGTTTGAGTAGCTGTCATTTGGAGGTTATTTTGCAAGTCTAAATAGAAGGCCTTCTGAGGGTAGAGGCCTGGCCAAATGGTCCTGCCCCCCTTCCACTGTAGGTAAAGGGCAGGTATTCCACGTATAAGTTTTATCCCCCTAAAGGGCCTTCAAGGCAGAACTTATGCAGAATTAATACCATGGGCCATCCCACTCCCCCCTCCAAGTCCTTTTCCGGGGACCCTGCTTTAGAAGGCCACCACTGGGCACTGGCCAGTAAGCCTGGCCTCACACTGGGCAGCCAAAGGCAGCCTCCAGGTCCCTGCCCCCTCCTAAGATGGAATCCAGCTCTCTGGGATGTTAGGAGATGCCAGCAGGCACCTGGCAGGTGCAGGTGGTATGGGGAGGGGCAGCTGGACTGCTGGTTATCCATGAAAAAGGCAGTCATGCAGGAGAAAACAGAGCAGACCCAATGGGAACCAGGCAACCTCTGCCTTCACCTTCTCCTGACCTTCTTGCCATGGGGGGCCCTGGGCTGCTGGGGAGAGCTCAGAGCCGAAGGCCTGGCCAGCTCAGCCTGGGAACGGGGCTAGGAGGCAATCTACAGGACGGCCTCACCCAGCGCTGGAAAAGCCGGCCTGCCAGGAGAGAGGGTCCAATACCCACCCACCCACCTCAAACATTCCGGACTGTGACTCACCAGGGTGACCCAGGAAGTCTCCCCGCCGTGGGCACCAATTATGTACAGGACAAGCAGGGCTGTGGTGGCCATGAAGCAGAACACAGACACAAACATCACCCAGCCCTGGACCAGGGGGATGGGCACCAGGGACGAGGCAATCAAGATCCACACCAGGCCCCCGAAGATCTGCAGAGGGAAGGAGGGCAGGGGTGAATATCAGGGCAGGAGAGCCCACACACAGGAAGGACCAGATCCAGAATCCTGCTGGGGCATTAGGGGCAGAAAAACAGAAAGGAGGCAGAGAACGGTGGTGGGCATTTTTCCTTACCAATAATGCCCCTTACTGCCCCTTCGAGGCATTGCCAGTCTCAGTCCCATCCCTGCTTGTTTGCCTTTATTCATGTTTTAACTACAATTTTAATTTTTTATTTAACAAAAACGCATATCGCACTTATATGCTGGCGCTAGCACTTTGCAAATATTAACTCAGCTATTTCTTACAACAACCTTGTGGACAAGGTACCAACTTGTTTTTCAGATGGGGAAACTGAGGCACGTGGACGTTAAGTCATTTGTCATCCCAGGAAAGGACTTATCTCCTCCGGTATTATCATTATTCTAAGGTTTTATCCTTGATTAAATCCTCCTATTTTGACATTAAATTATCTTTTCTCTTATGAAAGGTTAGTGACCAGTTGATTCTTTGGTCTTTACTTGGCACAGTAAATCAACCACACTATGTCATAAGCATAATTTTTTAAAAAAATATTTGATCCCTTAAATCCCCAAGTCCAGGAAGTGCTCTGACTACCAGGGTCAGGGCTGGAGTGGAGAGGTCTGCCCTCCTCCTCCTCCTACTTATCCTCCTCCTTGGTGGCCTAGGACTGGTATGAGAGAAGCACTTCCCTGTTCTCATCCAGAGGACACCCTTGCTGCTGTCCGAAGGCTCAGGAAGCCCATGTTTTTAGAGGAGCGCAGGACAACGTAGGAGTCATAACACCCCCTGAGGCCACCATCTCGGCTCCCTGAGCTGAAGCTGGGCCTGTCTTCTCTTCCACTCTCCCTCTTCATCCTCGGGAAGGCAGCCCAGCCTCCTCTGCCATCCCTCACCCAGGTAAGGGCTGTGCTTGGTAAGGCTGGGGCACAGGTGGACAGGGCTTTGTGGTCAAAGGTCTCCAAGGTCCTTCAGAGCATCTAGGGGCTGAGGACAGGTTGCCCCCCAGCCCTCCGTCCCCTACAGTGTGAGCTCGAGTGGTGTCTTGGCTCCCTCTCTGGTACCTGCTTGGCTCCCTTGCCCACCTGCTAGGCAAGAGACCGTCGTCCTCACAGGTGTCCTCTGACCCTCTCAGCTGAGAAGCGTCAGGAGAGAGTCATTTGAGTAGAAAAATCAGATAAATGAAGAATCTGGAGTTATCAAAGCAAAGCTGAGCCTAATGAATCAGATATGGGCATCTCTGACCAGAACACTTCCTCTACTGTTGAATCTGAGGGTCCCTGAAGGCACTGGCAGGGGCAGTGGGGCACATTTTACAACTTGTAATCATTGGAGCAAATAGTTAACTAAAACTCCTTAGACAATCGTACCATAAGATCTGCGCATGTGTGTGCTTTTCATCCATAGCTGCCTCCAAGATCACACAGATTACTTGGCCTTTCTCATAACGGGCCCTGACAAAGAGACACGAAAATGCTGGAGGCTGAGAACTTGGGTGTAGGAAGCCCAAGCGCGGCCTGGGGAGGTAGGAGAACCGGGCATGCCTGTCTGGAGGGCAGAGGCAAAGGTCTGGGATCCTCCTCTCCAGGGCGTCCTTTGCCTGGACACCAGGTGACCATCCAAGGAGGAGCAATCTCAGTTAGGTTCCCTGTTCATATGCTCTCAGGGAGCCCTGCCCTTGCTTCTCCTTGGCAGCAGCCAGCACAAAATAGGTGCTCTGGGTTAGTTACAAGATGGCCATGTGACCATGTGATGGTGGGGGTGAGGTCCCCCTCGTTCACAGCTAACTCCTGGGTGTGGGACATCTGTCCAGCTGTGCATCAGCGTCTGAGTTAGTTGGCCAGCCTTCAGGGTCTCCTGTCGGATGGGTATGAGTAAACTGTAATGATTTATGCATTGCCTGCCATGAGTCTGGAGCATGCAGCCTTGCTAGATGTGGTCCCAGTTTTGACACTGAGCTTCTGGCACCCAGGCAGAGGGAAGTTCTGAGTGCCAAGTTCATCCAGTCACTTGACCTGCTTCAGGTGTGGACTTTTACCTATATGATGGAGACTGTGTTCCAGCTCCCTGGAAAATTCATTCTCTCTTTCTCTCTCAGATTCCTGGAGCCTGTGGTAAGAATATCTGTTCACAGGATCAAAGCCCACCCTGGGCTCAATCCCGGCCCCTGCCCCCTGGCAGACCTCAGGACCCTATCCTGCCTTTGGGTGTCCGACCTTGTGAAGATCCTTTTTAACAATTATGCTTTTTATTTCTTTGCACAGTTTATCTATGGCAGCAAGTTTCATAGTAAGATGGTGGGAAGCAATTCTCTCTCTATCTTACACAGCTTTAATGAGATATAATTTACTTACAAATTGCCTATTTAAAGTGTAAAATTCAATGGTTTGGGGATATTTATAGGTTTGTGCAAGCGTTGGCTCCAGCCCAACTTTGGGACATTTTCATCACCTCTAAAGAGTCTCTGTACCCTTTAGCTATCACTTGCTTCCCTCCCTCCCATCCCTAAGGGACCACTAATCAGTCTGCTTCCTGTCTCTATAGTTCCTATTCTGAACTTTCACCTGAGTTGAATCATATAATAAAAGATGGGCTTTTATGACTGGCTACTTTCCTTTAGTATAATGTCTTTCAAGGAGAGGAAGTCTCTCTCAGGGGGACTTGTACAAAATGTCTCTACCATCACAGCACACCCCATGGGCCCATTCTGACCCCTGCCATGTGAGGGACATGAGGTGAACGTGTCTCATTCTGGAGCCTCCAAGCTGGAAACAGGCGAGGAGCCACTGGTTCCCAGGGACGTTCGTGAAGGAAGCACGCTCCAGGCCCAGTCTTTCCCTGGAATGTATTTTAAGTTACACATCGTATGAAGGTCATGCCCTCGACATAGATGAAATGATTAAAACTGGGGGGTCTTGCCCCTAGAAGACTGCCAGGGGCCTGTCCTCTCCCACCACGGCCCTGCCCCCTGGGTCTCCGGAGAGAAATGTGGGGCTGTAGGAAGGAACCCCAGGGGCCCGCCTGGGAGGGGTGCTGAGGTGGGAGCAGGCCATCCCTGAGGCCGGGAGGCTGAGCGGAGGCATCTCCTCCCAGCTAGAGGCCTGTGAGCGGGGCGCAGGCACCACTGCAGTGAGAAGTCCGTGCAGATGCACGTCGGCAGCTGTCGGCCGTCCCAGCAGCCTCCTCCCGGGAAAGGGGCAGCGGCCGGCCCCCGCAGCCCCCACACATGCAGCGTCCACCACCAGCGGTGCTCGGGAGCCCGGCCAGGGGCTCTCTGCCCACCCGAGCCGCCGCAGGAGGCCGCGGCATGAGTCAGCCTCTCGGCCCCGGCTTCCTGGTGTACGAGTGGCAGTTCACAGCTGGGTCTCCCCAGGGCAGGCTGGCGCACGCTGGCTGGCACTGTGGATGTGAGTGTGCAGCTTCTGGCGCTGTGCCCAGCACCACCCCACAACCGGGGTAAGATGCTGCTCACCCACGAGGCCAGCTGCCCTCACAGACAGATGCAGAGGCAGCCGATTTACAAGGCAGGATGATAACCAGCCCGGAGTGGCACAGCGGCCTGGACTGGTGCGGGCCTCCAATCGAGTCTCAGAGGGAGAGTTGGACTAACTGCGTAACTGGGCCGAAAGGTCAAGAAGTGGCTTTGCAGGGGGAAGAAGGAGTATATATATAATAATATAACACAACACAAGAGGCAAGTCCACAGGATGCTGAAGCGGCAGTGAGGGCCTCAGAAGGCCCGGCTGCTGGGCCTAGGGGAGGCAGTGAGGGGGAGGGGTGGCTGAAGGTGGGGCTCAGGGGGTCGAGCCTCGAGGCAGAGCAGATCCCTAGGCCATGTGATGGCCTTCAAGACTCCGCTCCGTGGAGAGCTGGGGCTCAGTGTGAACCGTGGGACAAAGCCAGTGACTGCCCCACTCCACCTACTAAGTGTGCAGAGAGCAAACAGAGAGAGCAAGCAGAGCGCCCACACCCGGGGAGATAAGGCTTCCCGGGCAGGTAGCAGTCCACCCCATCCTGGCCTCAGTACCCCACTGGCCAAATATTTGCCAAGAGAAGGGGGTGGGTGAGGGTTCAAGCATTCCTTTTGTAAAGAAACCTCCAAGCGGCTCCCAGCTCCCAGAGGCAGCAAATGCTCACAGGCAATCATTTTGAAACATTAGTCATCCAAGTGGAGGCATGACTCCAGTTTCCGCTCATCTCTGTCAAGGGGCCGGACTTCCCACCACCCCCTGCCTACACCCAGGTCATCCCCTGTACTCCCAGACAGAGATGGTGCAGCTGGCTATGGTAGCTGTAGAAAACGACCTCTAAGTTGGGTGGCCTTAGGATCTTCTGCACTGAGCTCTCTCTGTGGGGTCCAGAACCCCAAGCTGGAAAATGGTGGCAGGTCTGGATTAACACTGTGGTCTGCAGCCCTCACTCAGTGCTAGAATTGCCTGGGACACCTTGAAAAAATATCAATGCCCAGGGTCTGACTCTAGTGGAGAGAAGGAAAATTCTAGCATATGCAACAGACATCCCAGGCTGTTTGCCAAAAGCCTTAGAACATCCTTCCATAACACAAGCCCTGGGGTTATGTTCTGGTGATTCCTGTCAAACAGAAGAAGAACTGGCTCCTGTCTCTGACACCCTGCTCGACTGTCCAGTGATTCCAGCCGAGGCACCTCTCCAGGTCCTGACTGGGCTTCAGTGCAAAGCTCCCTTTCCTCTTCTTTCCTCAAGATTTCAATCCCTGTCTTGCCTTGTCCTCGGCTGTCCTCCAGATCCAGGGATATAGCCTCAGTGTCTGTGAGTAGGAATGAGCTGGTGATCTGAGGCCCCAACCCCTGGTATTTCAGGATTGGAAACCACCCATCTTTAATTCAGTCTGGTTTGGGATGCTGAGCAGAGTTGAGATTCCCTAAGAACCAGGGGTAATATACAAAATCAAACTAAAAAAAATTCCAAAGACCTAGAAGAATTTATATTTGTG